TATATATATATATATATATATAGTGAAGGAATGGAAAGAAGTCTCTCTGTAAAAACGTGGGAGAATATGATAGCTGAGTATCCCAAGCTGGGCAACCTCAAAGAATTGCTGGATGTTTGCTTTGAGTATCTTGCACCATTTACACATTCAGAGCACAAAGACACCTAACGTCTCCCCACAGGAGAAAAATTCTGCTACATGCTGTCCTACCATGAGATTTTTGTATAATCTCTTTCTAGGCACTGTCCTACTGTGGCCTGAAAGAGGTGGTTACATATCAAAGATAGAAAATCTCTAGCTCATATGTTTTCTATGGCTCATAGGATTTTTTTTAAAGAACTTAAATTGGATTTTAGCACATAGTAAAATATTTCTCTCCTATGTTGGTGGAAATTCCATGGAAAATCCTTCATAGCTGAAAACCCACTCTCTTTAGTACTTTATGAAGTCCTCACTAACACTAAAGTCGTTCTTTGGGATTCAACACCAGTTCCCCATCACCATGACTCAATATAACGTATCAAACAAGGATGGGCAGATAGTACTCACAGTGAAGGAGATGCAGTGGAGTAAGTCCTTCTCCACCACCAGGTCAGTGAAGAGGCTCTGGTTTCCCCCGAGGGACTCCAAGGAAGCACTTACAGTCACTGTCTCATTCAGGTAGCTCAGAAGGAGGCAGCCCTTCTCAGGGATCCCAGTGTACAACAGGGAGGGGACAAGCACCACAAATTGGGAAGAGAAGAAGGCTAAATCAGAGAAAAATGGAGGATAGCAAGCATTTTCAACCATAAATGTGCTTTTCCTAACAATATGTATTTCTTGCTACATTTGGTTCTACAGCAAATGTCAATGGACTAAGAACATTAAGATGGAAGTTCTATCACTGCCCGGCCTAAGAATTATATTTTTTACTCCTGAGTAGTGCCTCACCCACACAGTCAGTCTGCTGGAAGTTGGCTTCAAGGCTGTTAACAATTTTATAGGCATTCCTTGTGTTATAGAGCATTAATATCTGACTTCCTGAATATATATCCATAAAAGTGCACATATATAATAAATTGCTGGTGATTATTCACTTTATAAAAAGATTTACATTAAAATCTGTCTAAATAAACATCACTGGTACATGGACACCACAACTGACTTTATATAAATTCAACTGAAAAAACTTCAGTGAACATATATCCATTACATAAAATAACTCATATCTATATTGTAAAATAATTTTCTTTATAACAGCAACACTGAAAACAATATATTTGCTGTTTCTCAGATATGCCTTAGCCAAAATCAATAATTTTTTTCAACAACAAGTTTTTATTTCTGTCAATAATTTGCAAGCACACACAAGTACACAGTGCATTTGATTAACATTCTCCTTCATTCTTACCCTCTTGAGGTAATCAATATTAATATTAATACTTCTATGTTCAAAAAGATATGCTTGTGTCTATACGGGTGGATAAATTATCTTCACTTACTAAAAAAACAAGTTCACATAAAACATGTTATTTTGCAAAGTCATTTTTATTCTAATTATTGAATATATTTAATTATTCAGAGGTACGGCCAATTTAAAGATTTTAGCTTTAAGTAATCTCTGCACCCAATGTGGGACTTGAACTTACAACCCCAAGATCAAAAGTTGCATGCTCTACCAACTGAGCCAGCCAGGCGCCCCTGTGAGTTTACCTTCTTGAGTTGGTTGATAAGTTTCCTTTATCTATTATATTCTCACATATCCTGCTCCCCAACCCCCGCATATTTCCAGACAGAATTCTACCCATTCTTTGGGAACCATCCCAAGTGACACCTTTGACACAAAAAATTTTCCTGAAGCAGTCAACTCTTAATCTCTCCATACTCTGAATCCCTATGGGCTTAAAGAGAATGTATGTTTCCTACCTATTTACTACTTGCAAGGAATTGTGTTAAGCAGTCTCTGTATTAATCCTCCTAGCAATCCTATACGATACGTACATCATATTCTTCATGTTCATGACAGCTAAAACATGAGGTCCTCGGCCAGTCCCCAAATTCAAATATACAACAGTAAGATGAAATCCCTGCCTACTCACTAAATCAGTAGATCATACATAAAATGTGACTCCTCAAAACTTTAACGATTCAATAGCTGCAGGTTTGCCATTTGTTTATAGAGTTAATTTACAATTAAGAAAAAGAGAGCTATTATTATCTTATATTGTTTTACTATCCTTTCCCTTCTACTTCCAACATGGGCTCTTACACTTAAAAAAAAGCAGGCAATTTGACCCATGAAAAACTATTTTATTACTTTTCAAATTTAATAGGTATGAGACTAGGAGAAGAGAGTAACAGAGGCAGTTTAGTTGTGGAAACTGGAAGTCAAGTTTGGTTCTCTCATTCTCCAAGTGGTCTGCTCCAGCCCATTCATCATGTTGTATGTGTTTTAAGTTGTTCCTTAGCAAAACTATATGCCATGAATCTTTAGATCTACCCTTCAAAAATTAAAATCTCAGGTTTTTAAATTGCATAAATGCTAAGGTTTTGTTCTAAAGCAGAGAAGCTCAGAGCAGTTAAGTAATCTACCCATAATCATTCAGATAGTACCTCTCATTTAATCCCTTTCTGGCATCTGGATATTTTTTATCTGAATCATCTACTCTTTCAAAAATATGGTAAGTGATAAAAATTATCATTTTTTACCTCCCCATCCATACTTTTTTCCCTCTAGTTCTTTGATCTTTATCAGTGTATTATAATTTTATTCAATATACTATTTTTATTCTTATTAGTTATAAGTGTAATTGACATCATAATTTAAAAATTAATTCCATATATATTAGATATTTCAAACAGTTATTTCATAAAGGTTTGGTTAGTATCATTTAATAGATATTGAAATTGGAACCCATCAAGGTTGAGTAATTTGCTCAAGATTTCGTCTGTAAGTGAGCAATTAAACTATTAAAATATTACTTAACCATGGATGTTTGCGTTTTATTTTTTTATTTTTTATTTTTTTTAAAGATTTTATTTATTTATTTGACAGAGACAGACACAGCGAGAGAGGGAACACAAGCAGGGGGAGTGGGAGGAGGAGAAGCAGGCTTCCCGCCGAGCAGGGCGCCCGATGCGGGGCTCGATCCCAGGACCCTGGGACCATGACCTGAGCCGGAGGCAGACGCTTAACGACTGAGCCACCCCCGTGCCCCGGATGTTTGCATTTTAAATATTTGCTTTTGTAGGAGTGATTAAATTTTGCAAATATTAAACAAATGACTCTTAATTTTCTCTTTTTCATGTTCCCCTCCCACCTCCATCTCTCTGAAGGCAAAGGAGGACAGTTACTGGGTCTTTTGGGCAATATATCTCATTTTTCACATCAAGGGCTAATAATGCTGGAGGGATAGGGGATGTTTTCTGCATAGTGAGGAGATACCTCTTCTGTTCATGACAACTAGGCTATGAAGTTTATTGTTCTTTATCAAATGTTGGATGCGATGTAAAGTAATAAGTTTTCAGTGGACAGAATGATCGTATGTTGTGTTGAACTGAAAACACAGACTGCTTAACATTTCCAACCCCAATGAATGCCACTTGCTTCATCCATTCAGCCTTTACTCAGAAATCTGAACAGCCCCTACATATTTCCAGATGCTCTCTGGGTGGAATGCAGTGGGAGTTGCTACCATTCACAGTTGTACATGAGATAGAGGAATGATGGCAGAAAAATGTACCCCTACTGATTACTGGGAAATTGTGCATTGAAGAAATTTGAAGAAGAAAGGAAAGCGAGTTGGTCATTCTGATTTCTGCTTCCTGCACTCTGTCCTGGAGAGGGCCAATTGTATTAAGTGGATTAAGCTAACACAAAGAGAAAAGGATCCTTTGATCCCTCTGCACATTTAGGACTCTGGAGGCTGCGCGTATCAATCTGGGATGTAGCTACATTCAAGGCAGGAGTGCACAGTGGGTAGGGGTCTGAACTACAAAGGGGAAAGGTGATTCTGCAATACAGTTTGTATTGGAATAGTTGCAGGATTGGAGGCAGGATGCTGTAGCATGTTGGGGGCTCTATAGGATAAAAAAGAGCTGAGGTGAATTGGAGTGAGCCAGAGAGGGCTTCTGGGACTGTTGGTCAAGGGACCCAGCTGAGACAAAGCAGATGGCTGAAGATTCAAATGATGAAGGCTGGCAGGTAAGAAGAAGCCAGATTAACAATGGCCAAGGAAGACGAAGAAGTCTCAGATCAAAGACTCTGAGCCTTCTTCTCCACCAGGAAGGAATGGAGATCACAACCTTCTAGATCCTCTCTTGGGGAAGAACTGGGGAGAGGTGGAAGAGAAATCTTACGATTATTGGATTTCACCAAATTTACAGCTGAATAGTTTTCAATTACTCCCTGCCCCCCTGCCCAACTGGCCCGTTACTGGGGTCTCTTGCTGAAGACCAAGTAAGTTATCGAAAAACAAAGGAGCTATACTTCTATACGTGTGATCTACAGTATGAATTAAACTGCACCCCACTATGCACTCTAACTATTTTTATAGTCAATGCTTTCCATCCTAAAGAAAGATTCCGTGAAGGTGGGATTGAGGTTTCAGTGTCTAATCAAATCACGCCTTCTAGTGACTACTTATTCTTTTATGATTATGATGATGCAATGAAAAAAAAGTGAAAAGTGTAGAAGAACGTGAAAGAAAAAACTTATGATTCATCTCTTAAGATTGGAAGGTACCTTAAGAAATGCGAAGGGTAGCATTTAATGGGAAAGTCAAAGCAAAGATATAAAGAAGAGACGGAGATGAGCACAGACTCTTGAAGAGGGGACTTTAAGAGAGACTTACAGTTCTGTAGGGGCTGAAGCATCGGTAGAAAGCAGGACAAGAAGTAGCGTGAAACATGAATGAGGAAGTCTGCCTTTCTCCATAGTGAGGAACAAATCTCAGCCACTGTATTGTGCCCAACTCCCTGCCTTCAGCCTGGTCCCTGAGACATCTTAAATTTACCAGGTTTTATGTGGCTGCTATTTGCAAACAAGCTCCACCCCAAGACCTCCAAATGGAGCTCAGAGTTGGGCAGAGCTTCCCTGAAAAGTTCATTGCTCTCAGTGATTGCCTCATTACCCTCAAGGCTAACCTCTGAGAGGCTCTGAGGCATTTCCAGAGGATAAAACTCATATTTTAATTAGAATGACCTTTCTTTTACTTTGATAGCAAAGCTCCTGGTGAATGGCTCCGTATAAGAGATTCATCCATGTTATTATGTATAGATTAAATCAGTTGTATTTTGTTACAGTATCACACTTCTTGGTCATCATCAACCAAATTTTGTATGTCCACTCTCCCAGTGATAGAATCAAGATTGCCTCCGCCTCCCTGATACCACAAATAATGCTTTGATAAATATTTTTTAACATGTTTCCTTATTCACATACACAGAGGTGGGATTCTGGATCTGAGGCATGTACTTAACTGACTAAATACTGCCAGATTACTCTCCCAGAATGGTTGTAACACACTGTGATTCCACCAGATAGTGCATATCCTCAAATTTCTGCTGACAGCTGGTCTTTACATTTTGCCAAACAAATGGGTATGAAGTGATATTATATCATTGTTTCAATTTGTATCTATCTCGCTATCAATGACTTCAAGGTTTTTTAAAATATGCCTTTAGTTTGTAAATTGCTTGTTCATTTCTTTTCTCATTTTTTTTTTAAAGATTTTATTTATTTATTTGACAGAGAGAGAGACAGTGAGAGAGGGAACACAAGCAAGGGGAGTGGGAGAGGGAGAAGCAGGCTTCCCGCCGAGCAGGGAGCTGGATTCGGGGCTCGATCCCAGGACTCTGGGATCATGACCTGAGCTGAAGGCAGATGCTTGCCACCCAGGCGCCCCCCTTTTCTCATTTTTTAAAATTATGGTTGCTATCCTAGTCTTGTTGATTTTCTGGAACTTTTTTGTATAAACCTAGATACAGTTCCTCATCAGTTTTAGACATTATAAATATTTTGTTTCATTATCTCATCTATAACTCTGTCCATAGTATCCTTTATTTCTTAATGTTGCACTGATAAACTTCAACTTCTTTTCCTTGTGATTTATGCTTTTGCAGTTTGCTTTAAGATATTTCTTCCCAGCCCAAGTTTGATTCTTCTGTTAATTTTATAGTTTGACCTTTTATAAGTGTATCAGCAAACTATCTGTATTCTAACTTTGCATGTAGTTTTCTTTACAGATCCAAGTTTTGTGTTTTATTTTTTTAACTTTAATTTTCTTAGCCCCTTCCACTAACAATCTTTTTAAACCCCCTTGATATGTGGTGCCACTTATATGGTCTGTTAAAGTCTCATATATACATCGATCCATCTCTGAACTCTTTATTTCCTAGCAGTGGTCTTTTGTTCATTCTTGCACCAGTATTCTTCCTGGCCCCTCCCTCCCCCCTGCATACATGTAATTTGAGCTTATTCATTTCATTGTACAAGTGTTTGATATTCTTGTTGTGTTTTCCTCTGCAACATCTGTCATTTGCTGAGAGGGATAGTTAATATTTATTTTGCGTTGTAGTTTATTTCCACTTTTGTTTGTATAATTTTAATGACTATGTATTGACAATGGGCATATCTTCCTGCTTCATATTTCTTTTAAAATATATAATGTCCCTCACAGTACCTTCTGATTTTATTTTTCCTTAAATTTAATTTTGATAGATGTAAAATTGCTACTTGGGGGGGAGTTTTTCTTTGGTTCATATTTATTGCTCTATCTCATCCCAAGCTATATCTCATTTCAAATTTTCTTTTTTCAAACTTTTTCTTTAAGTGTAGACAACACATCGCTAGATTTTTTCCTTTTTTATCAGCAGGTTTAACAGTTCCTCTCATTTGTTAAGTTTAATGCATTTGCAATTATTGTAATTTCTGAAAGTTTTATTCATCTGATTTAAAATATATACATTCTGTTTTGTCTTATGATTGTTGCTTTAACCTAAGACATACTCATGTTTATTTATTCCTGTGATAGCTTAGACTTTCCACATCTTCCATCTAATAAGGCAGGTACTTCAGAAATTTCTTATATACGTTTAGTCTCTCCTACATCTATCCCCCTTCCCATATACTTTTTTTTTTTTTTTTTTAAGTAATGAGTTATTGAGGTTTGTGCCGGTTACCAATTCAATACCTTCCAAATCTGTCCTTCATTGGCTATTTTACCTTGTGGATCTGGTGTCTATGAATTTTTATCCTTTGCCAGGATGTTAAGCTTTTCTAATAAAGAGTTCTAGAGGAATATTGGAGAAGGAACAAATTTCTTTTCTTGGTTCTAATGTGCTCCTCTAGGTAGTCTCTTTCAGCAGATATGGATTCCACAGTCCTCGGCTCCTCTGGTGCCTGATTCCTGCAGTTTGCATGATCTGTTCAGCACCTGTCTTCAGCAGTGCGTGTGCTTCTGCACTGCTAGGCTTCTGTGGTGCCCAAGAGCTAGCAGCACTTGGCAACTTCCTGGGGATGATTTTCCCCAACACCTTCTGAGGTGCTTCCCAGCAAGAGTGTCACCAGCCCAGCACCTTCCTTTGTCACCTGATTTCAAAGCCTGAGTGAACTTCTTTATCATCCAGTGAGCCAGGGTTGCTCCCTCTCCAACAAAGTTCAGTACTCAGCATTGAGGAATTCTTTCTTTGCATGTACTTCAGATCTGTCTTTTCCTTGGTGCACTATTTCAGCTGGTGGATAGTGCCTGCTCCATAGTCCTGCTAGTCTTATATTTTTTAGAGTTCTTTTTACTCTGTATTAAATAATCTCTCATGGGAGACGCTAACCTTAGTCGGTTAAGCGTCTGCCTTAGGCTCAGGTTGTGATTTATTTTTTAATAAATAAATAAATAATCTCTCATTATCCCAATCTCCTGTTTTTGTTTATAATACTTTATATTAAACTTTCCCTCTTCAAATTACAATGTGGTTTTGATGCCCTGACTGTACCTTGCCTGATACAAAGTTATACTTTCGCAAATTTCTTTGATTTTAGACATTTTATTTAAAGAAATCCATAAATAGCACTAATACTTTAAATCATCCTTGCTTTCATATATTTTATAGCATACCCTGGATTATTTCTCTTTTTTTGTTTGCAAACTTTCTCTTGAATGGTTTTCAGCATAGGGCTCTTGTCTAGCAAAACTTCTGAGGCTGTGTATACATGCAAATATTTTTTATGCTCTCACATTTGAGTCATGATTTCTTTGGACATAAAATTCTCTATTATTTATGTTTTGAATTTTTATTTATTTATTTTTTGGATATAAAATTCCTGATGTGAAGTGTTTCCTTAGTTCCTTAAACTATTTTTCCATTGTATTCTTGTATTCAGTATTGTTGAGAACTTGTACTTAGTCTTTGTCTCTGGAATCATTTAGAATTTTTCCTTATCTTATAAATTTTAAAAGTTTAGTATATGTTCAGGTTTGTGGTGTTTTTTTCATCTCTTTTATGTAGTTAGTTATATTTTTTTGATTCTGGGAAATTTATTTCCATTATTTCTTCATATTTTTTCCCTTTTCACTTTTACTTTCATCTCACCTGGGAAGTCTAAGATGTAGATGTTCACATTTTTACTTCAATCTTTCACATTACTTAGTTTTCCATTTGCATTTTCTATGTATTTATTTCAACTTTTCTGCTGCTTTTTTGCAAAATTCCTCAACTTCATCTTCAAGCTCATATTTTGTTCAATTATATACATCAGAATATTAATCTCATAAATATCAAATATTATGTATTCATATCTAATATTCCCACTTTTTTGTGTTATGATTTCTAGTTTTTAATTTATATTTTGTATACCTTTTATTATCTATTTTAAAATATTAGGATTATTTTATATTATGTTTATTCTGATAATTCTTCTTCAGGTAATATATGTTGATCAGTTTGCTGTGTTTCTTTTATAGGACTTGAGCAGCCAACATTTGTTTTGTTATTTTGGTCTGTGAGCCCATTATTAATGGGATACTTTGTCCAATAATATATGTGGGGGAAGAGCCAAAGATCAGATCCTTGTCTGTGATCCTGCTAGTGACTTTGAAGTGTGGAGAGAGAAAGAGTCCAGGGAGGAAATCCCCAGTCACCAAAGACCACTGGTGATCACACTTACTTGCTACATTTTTATATCTTTAGGAGACAGTAGTGAAAAGAGATGATCCCCAGAGCTTGGAGGGTTGAAAGAGGGACAGAATGGAAAAACGAAAGTCTGAGGCAGCTGATTACTCCACATCAGGTTTCATCTACTCTTCATACTTGCAGAGGTTTTCGGTTAATAAGATTTTACTCTAGGATTTTGCTGCTGATTTCTGTGAAGGGATAATAATTGTCCCAAACCAGCTTGAAGCAAAACCAACTGCAGAACTTAAATAACTTTCTTTCAATTTACCAAGTCAGCCATTTCCCAAATTCCTTTCTCTTTGACTACCAACTCCCCTGACACTTCTTCATTAGCTCCAGATTGCCTTCATTTCCTCCAGTTTTTTTTTTCTAATATTTTGTCGGTTCCTAAAACTTCTGTTTCTTTCTTGCTTATGTTATTTCTCCAGGGTTATCTGGAAGAAGGAAGAAGCAGTCTGCTAATTTTCCATTTTGTCGGAAATAAGTGTTGACTCTATTCTGTGCTTTTTGTTTTTTTTTTTAACTTGTTTTTGATATTTTGCATAACTTTTTAATTCTCTTGCATTATGAGTAATTTCCTCAGATCTTATTACAAATTTGTTAATTTTCATTTTATCTCTGTCGGATCTACTGCTTAAAGCATTAGATTTCTAATTTCTTTGTTTCTTTTGTCACCTGTTTTTTTTTTTGTTTTTTTTTGTTACCCGGTTTCAAAGCCTTAGTGAACTTCTCTATAATCCAGTGAGCCAGGGTTGCTCTCTCACC